AAGCCTAAATATTAATGCAAATATTTCTATCATACGATGCTAGCCGAATATCTTTTGAGCATATTTTTGATTTACAAATCAAAAATTTAAGACGTGAATTATTTTCTACCTCAAACAGTGATCAAAAAGAAAGCTTTCTTGATTTGCATATTCATGATGAATAATTTTCCTGCTTCGAGTTTGAATCACTCTAAACTGTTCTTCAGTTTTTAATTCTGAATCGTTCTAATTCTTATATATGCATATATATAATTTCAAATAGTTTTCTAAAAATTCTCTTGACTGCCAAAAATGTAGAATGAATTTCTATGTATTTAATATTATGTAGAAAAACAAAATTAACGCTGAAAGGTTTAATTTCTGAACAAATTATATTTTAGTCAATGACATGTAACCAAAAACAAACTGCCTTTATTTCAGTCAAATTGTTCAGAGAAACCGAAATTAGGAATGTTCACACTGAATTAGATTTGAAGCAAACATGAAAAAAATTTTGTTTCTAAATTATCGAAAAGACTTTCCACAGTTTTCACTATCTCTGATCAATTTACTATTCCAATATCAATCTTCACTTTCAATATTAAACGATAAAATTATATAAGCTACATTAATACATCAGGGATCACAAACTTATTCCTTCTGAATATAGCACTAATATTCGTTTTGTAAAAGTCTTGTAATATTTCGTCTATGGAGTAAAATTTTTTTGCTACTGAACATTTAAATTGCAGTTGTGAAAAATTTAAATCATTACAATTAAAAGTTGAGAAGTTGAGTTTTATCTAACGCAAAATCCAATGCAGCCATATTTTTTATTTTTCATCACTGCAGTAATTATCGTCTGAAGAATAATTAAAATGTTTTCGAAAAGTATTTTCTGGCCCTTTCATTGTGCAGTGATTATTTTTTAAAATAAAAGTTCAAAAAATGATTCGTAATTGAAAGTGTATGCACAAGCAAAATTAGAGAACTTTCATTTTCTGCAAAGTTTAATTTGGAAGAAAGCTAGAAAAGTTTTTCAAGCTGTCTTTCAAATTATGAATACAAGATGCCTGTTGACGAATATCAAAAAAATTCGTAGTACTTTAATGATGATATTCACAGTTGGAAAAATAAATGGTAGAGTAAACAAGAAAATATATTATTTCTACCAGATTTCTTCTATAATTTCAAATTTTTACAAATTTAAATTTGCCTAATTCGTTATGTCAGTTTTTTGAACTCGATTTTTGCTCACATTTAATATTATAATATTTGTAAGTTCGTGTACGTGTACGCACATTAGCAATAAAAAGTTTATTTATTTTTGTTTTTGAAGTTTAAAGATTCAGTGAGTAGCGATTAAATGTCAGCAATAAATGTTAATGTGGAATTGCTGCATGCATGCAATATGCCGATTTTTTGTTATGAAAAGTGGAAATTAATATGACTTCAGATATAACAAATTCTTATGTCAGATATGAAACTTCGAGACGTTTTTCCGTCACATTTTGCAACAAATTTACGGTTAAATAATCTTATTTAATGCATTGCATTAGTTGTATTTTGAGGAATAAAGCTTTATCACGCTCATTGCATAGAATGCAACCACTTAAATGGATGACTTGCAAATTCTTTCTGATATTATATTTTTAAGCTTTTTTTTAAGTGAATCAAATGATTAGTTTGAGAAATTGAAAGCTTTGAAAAACGGATGTCTTACAACGAAAAAAGAAAGGTGGTAGTAAAGATGTTTTTAGCATGAAAAAAATTTAATGGGAGAAGCACTGCTAAAGCTGACATTCCAAATGAGAACTTGAATTGCTTCAGATTTGTAATAAAAGACTACAAGAATGCCTTCTATTTTGCTTCAGCTTATTTAAATCATTTCTTTTTATATGTTATTTCATTTTGCATTATTTTGTATTAACGAATCATCATCTATCTCATTTTACCTTCTTCCAATCTCAATTCACATTTGAACTTTTTTAGCCCCATCTTATCCCATTTATTGCATCTAGCTTTGTCTCATTTCAGTGTGCTTGATGTAATTTAATTTGATTTGATTTGATTTGATTCAGTTTTATATTTTGTTATCAGTTATGTTTAAGTAATTTTATTATTCAGTTTCATTTGAAAAATTATAATAAATAAAACAATTTAAGCGTGCATTATTTTGCCTTCACTTTAAATCAAATGCATTGCCCTTCTTTTAAAATGAAAGTATTGTGAAAACTTTGTGCGCATTGCGGACATCTCAATTATGTCAAAATGAATTTTTCCGAAAATCTTTCTAGTAAAGAACTTGCAGAAGTAAATTAGTTGTTTCTAAAATAAGAAGCAAGCCAGAAACAAAGTTTAAGCAAAAAACTGAGAGTTAAAGTGTTTGAGGACGACATTAATAACGCTGTTGTGAGCTTTTCTGGTTATCCCAATTAGTCTTGCAGCACTAACAAAAATCTTAATTCAAAAACTTTTGCTTTTGTTTCCAAGTATGCGTCTCTACAACAGAAATTTAATAAGCAAAAGGCTGCTAATTAATTCTTTACAAGTCACAAATAAAAATCTTTTTGAGAGAAATTTATACAAAAGCATGCAGACTTATTTGCCATAACACCTCGAAGAATTCGTGAAAAAATTTGAAAGTTTTGATTCAGATTCATTTACTGAAATCGTTAAAATGTGCTTCACTTTCCTATTCTATTGCTTTTCGAATTTTTCACTTTAGTATCTATTTTTCATCTCATCTAATTGATGCTATTTATTTTGCAATTATGCATTTTTAAGAATAGTTCTGTGTAGAAGACAATTCATTCAATTCCAATTCCTGTTGACTTTTTGAAATTATTGTAGTCGTCTATATTTTATATTTTTTGTATGTTACTATCAGTTGGCTATAGCCAACCGCATGTTCACTTCAATTTCGAGCTTTGATATAAATTTTTAAGCTATTTTTTATTTATTTGGCAAATTGTGCTAAAAGCATTTACTAGAAGTTGTTTTCACACTTTTAATTGAAAATAAGTGAGTGATATCTGAGAGACGGAGATCATCTTTTGTTCATTTTTAGAGGGCTTGCAAATGTTTTTAGCAAAGGTGTAGTGACGAAGTTTGCATGCACAAATATATGGATATTTCTTTGGCTCCAAATTGAATATTTCGCTGAAAATGCAAAAAATTATATAGTGATAGTTCAAAAATGCATTAACTCATTATGTATCAGCACAGACTTGAATTTTTCAGGAATTTGACTTGATATGCTAATCCTTACTGTTCAGTAAGGATTAGCATATCAAGTCAAATTAGCTGGAGGAAATTCGAAAAAATTACATTTTTGTTAGCAATTCACAAATTATTTACGATAATTTTTTGGTAGGCAAATGATTAACGTTTCGTTAATCTTTTCTTCACCTTTTCTATCATTGTGAATATGCATCGTATCTGCAAATGTTGGCAGTCATAGTATAAAATGAATATATTTGGGGGCAAAGAAATTGGAAAAGAACTGAATGAGTGCTTTGTTTCAAAGCTTGAGTACTACCAATTGCAGCAAAATAAGTTATACTAACTTATCAGTTTTTCAAGTAATGCAATGTCAGCTTTGAAATTAATTTGTTACTTCATATAAATTTGTAGCTGATAACTTTTATTCAAAATCACTTAAAGTAGTCGATAAATTAGAAAAGTGCTATTTTATCAAAAATCATAAATAATTAAGCAAATAATTTATTGGAAATCGTGATCATTTATTGATGTGAAGTGCCATTCTTGAAACTAATTCTTCACTCACTGAGTAAATTATTTGCTAGAAAAGTGGGTTATGACAAGATTATAAAATATCCAACTTGCTTACTTCAAGCTTCGTCTGCGTCTAATTAGCAAGAACTTTCAGGCAAGTACTCGGAAATCTCAAGATTAGTCTTTTTATCTTCTCATGAGTTTACTTATCATAAGGAATTGTCTAAAAAACTAATCAAGAAGCTAATTACTTGGTTAGCTTACGTACTGGCATAGTAGTAGAGTGACCATTTCTTTGTTAGCACTGCTTTAATTGTTATCATCATTTGCTTTGTTCGGTCTTGAAGTGAAAGTAAATATGAATATGCAAATGGCTAACAAGCTTATGCTTAGCAATAATTTTGCTTCCATTTCGTTGTTCTTTTTTTCGAAAAGTTTTAATCCATTTTTCTCTTAAACTCTAATTGACTTTCTTAAACTTTGCAAGCCAAATTTCTTTCCAATAACCAAAGTAACGTAAAAGTGCAATATGCGATGTTTTGAAAAGTTATTCATTTTAAAATACATTCTTGTGATATATATTGTTATTGCTGTTATTTCAAAGATTTATGGCAAATTAATTTTTTTTGGTGCGAAAATACTTCGACACCAGATTAATTTTTTAGATACCCCTGGTATATATCGGTCAGTCATGACTCCCATTATTGTTATTATTGTTACTGCAATGATTAATATTATTATTTCGATTAGTAGATGGTAGATTGAAGGTATAATTATTACGCATTGCTCACTTCGGAAATTGAAAGTTCCAGAAAAAAGTGGTTATAAATGAATTGTTGGCGTTTTGGTCGAAGCAAAACTTCAGTGGCTGCATCAGAAGAGAGTAAAAAATCAGAAAATGACTCTTCTGTGCAAAATGATCACGAATTTAACGACTTGCGCATACCTCTAACAAGGAAACAAAAGTTTGTGCTAATTAGGAACTGGAAGGGAATTGAACGTGACGTAACTACCGCTGGCATCGAAATGTTCCTCAAGTAAGACAAAAATGTGAATATGATTTAATTTGAATCAAACCAGATTAAATCAAAATTCAGTCCAAAACATCAAAATTCGGTGCAAACATTGAATCAAAATTCAAAATTCAGTGAAAACACCAAAATCCAGTCCAAAACACACATTCAGTCCAGCATTGTATTATAGAGTTGTGTGTTTTACTAAACCATGTTCAAATTTCAGATCATAATAAATTACAGATGATCTGTCAAATAAAGCAAAATTTTACAAAATACTTAAATCTTCACTTTTTCTTAAAACTCTAATTTTGAAAATTAAAATGAGTTAATTGGCATCAAATTAATTTGCAATTGCAAAATTGCGTAAGGAATGTATTACTCTAGATTTGAGTAGAAATACAATGAAAGTCAACGAAAGACTATGACTACCTTCTTGTAGTGATTAATTTAGCATTGCAACTCTCTCAGAATGAAAATCTTTTATTCATATAAATTTACGAACAGTATTTTAGAACAATCAAAGCACCTCTACTTTTATTTTCCTGATGGTTCAAAATTTCATCGAGAAAGTACTGCTTGATGCTTTCTTGCAGAATGTTGGCAGATCACCCAGAATACTACGAGTTATTCCAGTTTCGGAATATTGCTGGAGAAGCTAAGGAGAATCAAGCAAGTGATGAACGTTTGAGTGCTCACGGCGCAGCTGTTATGAAGTTTATTGGACAAGCTATTAGGTTGGAAATTAATTGCTAGCACTTTTTCCTTGGCTGAAATTTTAGTAGCAATGATAGAAACACGGAAATCACGTGGGCACATGTCAATCACAATTATGAACTTATTTAAGTTCTGACCAGATCATTTACTAATTGTGTTTTGGGGTGATGGCAGCATAACATTGAGCTTTGCAGAGAATTATTACTAAAGCCAATGAAAAATCAATAACCTGTAGAAGTGAGTGCTTAAAATTTAATAAGTTCATTGGTCGGCAATTGAAGCTTGCTGGTGATTTCCACTTGATCCACTTTGATTGACCGAATTGATGTAATAATTGATTTTTGCGATAGTGTTTTTGAGGTAGAATTTTGGCTTGTATTTAACTCGAGAAGAATTACTTGACAACTGAACCAACTGAACCAACCACAAATTAAAGGACCAAATGCTCAATTTCAATTCACAAAATGAAAATGCTGAAAGATTTTAGTGAAAAAATCACTTGGAATAAAAAGACTGCAAATGTTTTCAGTCAAGTTGAAGACGCTGACGCGTTTTTTGCGTTGCTTGAAGCAAATGGCATGAGACATGCACATAAAAGATTGTTCAAGCCTGAAATGTTTTGGGTATTTCTAATTTTAATTTTCTCTTTCTTAATAAATACTACTGATTCTTAATAAATATTACAGATTTTAATAAATATTACTGATTCTTAATAAATATTACTGATTCTTAATAAATATTACTGATTTTTACCGCTATTTATTATTCTATTTTATTTTATTTTAACTGCAGACAACTTCAATCTTTGTGCACACATTTTGTCAATTAATAATCTTTCCCAAATAATGAAAATTAAAATTAGATCTCATATATATATATAACTAAATTAATTATATATATGATAGAGTTGAGTGATAGTTGTAGAATTATTTACTTCACATATAGCACTTCTAGCAAGAACAAGTATTTCCCTTAGATCTGATCAAGACTAGCTTCAGACTCATTCAATTGCGATCACTTAACCACATGTGGAAATATTTTCGATTCATTTCTTTCTTTAGTTACATTAATTTAGTTTGAAAATTTTCAGGCAGATTTAAAGTGTTACTTAACAGAGATAAGTAAATAGTCACATTATTTTCCAAGATTCGATTCATAATTAATTCGTGCTGCACAAATGTTCAGACATAAACAATCGAAAGCTAAATTGCGTCGGTTCTGGCAGAATACTTTAGTTTAGCAATTTCGTGTTATGATTGAATAAATACTCAAGCCACATCAATCAACCCTTCACTGTTTAAAAAATTGAAGTTTTTCTGGTACTGCTTGAAAGCAAACATCACTTTTTTAGGAAATGGAGCAACCATTTTTATACTCAGTTAAATTAACTCTCGGAGAACGCTATACTGATAACATGGATGCTGTATATAAGACGATAATTCAGCTCATTTTACAACGAATGGAGCACGCGTGTCGAACAGAAACTATGAAGATGCAAAACCAAAATATTAGAATGTAGCAAATCAGTTTTTTTGTTTTGTTTTTTTCAACAGCTTTGTACTGAACCGAATTTGATTCAGAAATGAGAATATGTAATTGAAAGAGATACCGTTGCAAGTAAGTAGTGCTAGCATATCTTGGAGTTTCTCTGCAGTAAAAACTTTTAGGAGTAGTGGAAATTAATTTCCTAGAAAATGCAAACTTTCAAGCTTTAAGATTGGCCAGTAGCAGTAGTTGGTAATTCATTTTAGCAAAAAACCACGAGCATTTTTCAACGCGTGACAGTACTACTGCTATTCAGAATTGCTTGTAATTGCTATTTGAAGTGTTGGTAAATTTATGGATACCAAATTTGAGTACGCAGTTTTCAGATTATTTTCATAGTAAAAATTGTAATATTGAGTAAATATTTGAACTTTTAATTTATTTCCGTTGACATTCAACTTCTAAAGCATAAATTAACTTTAAATAAACAAATTATTTGCAAGATGATTGTTTAGGAAGCTTTTGAGAAATAACTGATAACATGCAAAGATCATTCAATAAACCTTTTCAGACTATAAATAGAAGTATAGACTAGTCAATTATATTTGCTTGTATCACATTAATTATTGCCGAGAAGAAAGGAAGTAAGCAATTTTCATAACTTGACAATTTTAATTTTCATAAGTATTATTCGTAACATTCTGGTTTCATGCGGACACATTTAACTTAACAGCCGGAGTTTTAGAGCTCAGAACAGCAGCACTTTCTGTCCAAAATTAATGAAGTGAAAAAGTGTTTGTTCCGCTGGAATTCATATCCTTGCAGCCTTAGAAGTTGAATAATACGTAACAAATATATTTTCATTTGCAGCAGAACAGTTGAATAATGGGTGAGAATTGTATCAAATCTATCAAAATATAAGCTTTTTGAGGAAAGTAAAGCCTAGTACGAACTTATTTATTTTTGGATGCTCTAAAACTCCGGCTATTAAGTTAAATTGCTTGAAAAATCGACTGTTTTGTGGATTGGTAATGTTTTAAAGCCAGCGGTCAAAAACTCTGCAAAATTT